TCGGTCCAATGGGGTTCACCTATTAGGAGGATCGCCATTTTCAATCTCTTCATTTCCTTAGCTTTTTAATTGGTCTACCCAGTCTCTCATTTTGTCCATGTTCCATGTATCTATTATAATTGTCGCTCTAGTTGTAAGAAGTGACGTCGGCCTTGATACTCAAAAAGAATTTCGGCATCATAATTCTTCTAATGAAAATCCTTCAACTCCCAGAGTGAAATTCAAATGATTTTTTCTAGTTAGTATTTTTTTTGGAAAGGTTGTTCTCTATGGGATAGGGTTGCTAAACTCATGTCAAACCATTTTCCTTTATTCGGGCTCAAAACATCAGTAACTCTAGAAGGGTTACAGGTAGGGCTACATCCAATATAACTCGTTCCATATGAGCAGTCTAACTGGTAAGTACAAATAGAGATGGTGGAACTGGCTTACTGAAGAAAGAAGGACGTAATCTAGCTGTGTTAATTGTTTATTCAATGGCTTTTAACAAACTCCCTGGCTTCATCACTTATGAACTGCAATCTTAATAATAAAGGCTTCTTTGGTGCCGCTGGTGATTTTACTTTAAGTTCTAATTAGTTAATTTTATTGCATTTTGATTTTTTAAAAATACTCAAAAGAGTCTCCAAACTTTGTTTAAAAGTACATTTGTTGAAAACTGACAGTCATTTTATATAAGAAAAGGCATCGGATAGCAGTTTTCTATCCGTTATGATCTTTTCAACGATCAGAAGTAACTACTAATGATGTAAAATAGGTAGCGGCTTTCATACAAAATCACCAATGTCATTGTCAAGAATTCGTACTTTACCACAAATGAAGGTGCGAATAAATAATTATCCAACGAATCCTTTATCTGTGACTCATCAACAAACATCAAAGTAGTAAATATGATATTATATATGGCTGTATGTACTGCTCTATTGTTACATACTGAAGTAAAACAGCTATTTAATGTTTATTATAATATCACATCTTCAATATACAATAGATGTATCACTTTTAGAATATACCAACCTACCTGTTGCAAATCAAAATCTTCATTAAATCTAATCTTTTTAAATGATGCCTTTAAATAATAACAAATGCCAACTATAAAGTTCATCATTCACTATAACAATTATAGTAAGCCAATATAATATTATTTGCATATAGTAAACTAGAAATAGTTTCTACAATAATACATTAATGAATGATGAAAGTATAAAATAAACATTATTCATTATATATATATCATAATAAAACATACATAAAAGACAAATGATATACTGATGATTAGTAGTTTATTTAATAGTTATAATTAATAAATATTATACATAGTTTTTTCTTTCTTTAATTTATCCAGTCAATCATCTATTTTAGGTTACTAGGTAACATTATTATGATTACATAGGTGAACAATCATTGTCCTTAGTTTCTATATAATAAAAGTTCATAATATTGATTTATTATAATAAAAAAAATTTACGCCATCATATATATCAAAAAAACTATATCAATATGAATTAAATAATCAAAATATATTTTATGAAAAAATTAAAATAAAAAAAATCATGTTTTCTATGAAATTAATCTATTAAGAAAGGTTAGTATATCTTTATAGTAAAAGATTATATATTAGGTCAAATAAATTAAATAACTGATTTTGTTAAAGTCATCTGTTTAGATTGCTTATGGCATTGATTACAGTTGTGTTTTTTTGTAATTTATCACGTTATAAGAAAACAAAAAAATTTTTTTATCATGAACCAATTGAGGTTAGACCACCATTGAAAACCTGGAAGCACTGGACGGCCGTTTTGTCCTGGTATGGGACTCCTCAGCAGTGTGCATCCACGATCCCGCACCACGCGGGGCTCGAACACAGGATCTACTGGCTTCGCGCGCAAGCACTTAACCACTAGACCACTGAGCCGGCATCCAACGGTGTTAATGTCTAACTTCAACCAATCCACGAAGTTGCGCCACCGTACACCATTGTCTTCAGTGAGTTGTTATCTCACAACAGACCGGTTGCACTTCACTGATAACGGCTTCTCACTAGAACTCCAGCAGTTTTTCTTCAAGTCAGTCACTAGTGAGCAGTTGATTATTATCAGAATGGGTTTTGTGGAGAGTTTATACAAATTTCATAGGTTGAAATCATGAGTGGATTGAAGCTAGACCACCATGGATAAGGTGGAAGCACTGGACGGCCGTTTCGTCCTAGTATGTGACTCCTCAGCAGTGAGCACACACGATCCTGCTAGCGGGATTCGAGCTCAGGGCCTTCAGTCTCGCGCGCGAACGCTTAATTTACTGCACCACTGAGCCGGTATCCAATGGTGTTAATGTCTAACCTCAACCAATCCAAGAAGTTGGGCGACCATCTTCCATTGTACTGAGGTAGACACCTTGTTTCTACCCGACACGGAATAGCTACACTGGTCACGACTTCTCACCAGAACTCCGGGAATTTCCTCATGAAGCTAATCATTAGTGAGTACATGGTAATTAGCAGTTTAGGGGTTGTGGAGATTGTTAAGTTTTTTTATTCAGATCACGAACCAATTGATGTTAGACTACCATTGAAAAATGTTTTATTCATGATTTGTTTGACATACATCTTTATTCTACTTTTTTTCATGAAAATTTAATGTTAACTTTGTATTTGTATTAAGTGACTTTAAAAAAATATAAAAACTGGCTTATTTTGCTGAAATTGTAATAGTTTAATAGTTGAGTTCATAAGTTAATTAAAGTTAGACAATCATAGAAAATGGTTGCCTAAATCTTTTAGATTTTCAGTGATAGTCTAGATTTAATTGACACATGTAGTCAACATTTCAATTAATTATTGAGAAACATTTGAGATTTTGTAAAGTTATTAATAATGAATTGATAATCGATACTCATTTCCAAGATTCTAAATGTAATTACAATTCTAATTGCTTCATCGTTACATTAGTTGGTAATGATTACATATTATTCAGATAGTTATATATACAAAGATAATATTCTTATGTATAATATAGTTTCCCAGTTTTATACATTCTGTTCATACGAAATTCAACTACATGAATACAATGTGTTTTTTTATGATAAATTAAATAAACTACTTTCAAATCTTAAAATGTTTTAGACATACATTCAAAATATATCTTCATAATAGAAATATAGTGAACCGAAAAAAAAAGTAATATATCTCCTGTCAAATACATAGGAACTATCATAGAATACGGACGGTTAGCTATTAAAAATAATATTCAATAATCTAAATAATTGTTGAGAAGGACATAATTGATTCGTTTCGAACAAACACATAAACAAAAGATAATTTAGAATAGATGAAAAGTAACTAAGAATGAAATCCAAAATGTGTATTTCTTACTGTTTTGAATTTGTCATATCGATCTTCACCTTCAATCTGTGATCTTAAACCTGTGTCATCGGATTAATGCACCATCGCATTATTCCCTCACCAACGGAGTCCAAGTAGACTATCATTCATGCTACGAATATGTGATTCATTTAGATTTGAAATTGTCTAAATTATCCAGTTGTTGATATTTGTGATCAGAATTTGATCAGCCTTGGTTGGTATACATTCCGCCATTATAGATTGCCTTGAAATAGTAAATATGATTCAAGCTAATATAGAACAAATAGAATATAGATACCAGTGGAATTTCAGACAGGCGTTTCATCATATTTGGGATTTATCAACATGAATGCACCTGCATCTTATCCATCTATTCTATATTTCACATTTCTATCTTGACTTAAATGTATCATTTATCTACTTAAAAGCATACAGGTTTTGTTAAATCTTTGGATGACGTTACGATGAACGTAAATCAATAACCGAAGGTATATAAATTCCACACACCTTAGATGAATATAGCATTTGCAAAATATAAATTGAATAACGATCAATTTCAAAACTTAGATCAGTATGATTCTATTGATTGTTTGATTAGTATCACGAGAGCTGTAATATCTAAAGATCCTCGACGAGCATGCTAAAAATATTCTAACTTGAGGGAAAAACTGCGTTGATGTTTTGGATTACTGACAGTTCTATAGTTGACGTTACTTTTTGTTAAAAATTAGTAATCTGTGCTAATAATACTTTATAACAATAAAGGCTTGATTTAGAATGTAGGTAAATATATTACAAACTCTGCCTGTAGCTCTTCTAGAATTACTTCCGGTTTCAAGCCCGGGCAAAGGAGGAGGATTGGGCATGAGGTCAGGAACCCCATTCAGTAGAAAAAAATCTTGCTAAAAAGACTCCAACCAGATTATATTATATTTATTACAATTTGTTGATCCAAAAACAATACCTAAATAATTAAAAAGTTCGAGGGTCATCTCATATATAAAGCCGACCGTTTTTAATAATCAATTAAACTAAATAATGCATTTTTAAAATAAATGTTATAATAAATTTTTTCACACACTCTGTCAAGAAACCATTTAAAAAAATGGCTTACACAATCTTTATTTTAAATTGGTCGTCTTATCCATTCGCCTGAGCATTTTATTTGAGCTTTTCTTAATATTCAGAGAAGGGTTTTGTGGATATTAAAGTAATTTAATAGATGAATGCATGAGTCAACCGGGTCTGTTGTGAAATAGTAACTCACTGATAACAATGGTGGACGGTGAAGAAACTTTGTGGATTGGTTGAAGTTAGACATTAACACCGTAAGATGAAAACCGGCTCCGTGGTCTAGTTGTTAAGCACTCGCACGCGAGACCGGTATGTCCTGGGTTCGAATCTCACGAAGCGGAATCCTGGATGTGCTTTGATGAAGAATCCCGTACTAAAACGAAACGACCATCCAGTGCTTCCAGGTTTTCCACGATGGACTAGCTTCAATTGACTCATGAACTAAACTATTAAATCTTCTTAATATGTTACTCCATTGAAATTACCTTAACTATTTTACTGTGTATTACACTTTACACAGACAAAATTAATTTATTGACAATATTTCACTTTTTATTTTTTATAGACAATTATCTGGGAGAAAGGACAAAATCCTTTATTTGTATCTACAGTTAGTTTCATGCAAGATTCTAGATTTCGTTTAAATATTAGTGATGAAAATTATTTCAACAATGAAACTAATCGTTTTAATATGAAAACAAAATATTTCAAAGAATACAATGAAAAATCTATATTAACAGGAAATAAGTTATCTTATCAAAATTATTTAGATAAATATAACATTCAAAATAATTGGAAACGTCGTCGATGGGATTTAATTATTGACTTTGTAACACCAACCGATTCAGATATTTATACATGTATGCTTATGGGAAGAACATCACAAATGATTAGTTACCATGTAATTGTAAACGGTAAGTTATGTCATAATATTTTTACCGGTTAAAATCAATAAATTTGAATGAATGTATATCAATGATATTTTTATGAGTAAACTGTTACAAGTCTTTGTAATTATGTCATTAGTTGACGAAATCCATATGGATGAGGTAAAATTTTTAATGATGTATAGTTGTTTTATTCTAAACGATTTCTCAAATTCTTCTTTTATGTAATTATCGATAATTATTACTAATTGAAATTGTTGACCTATTGCTATCAATTATTAAACATTAGGCTGATCAACTTGTCCTTAAATTATAAGCATTTTAAAATAATCTTATTTCACGTTATGATTTCATAGATAGATTTTTTTGAAAGAAATCTTTATGAACTCTCATTGTCAGCAAAAATAAACTTAGTTTTTGATTGAGATCATGAATTGATGAATGTTAGACCATTTTTAAAAACCTGGAAGTACTGGACGACCGTTTCGTCCTAGTTTGGGACTCCTTAGTGGTGCTCATTTAGACAGTAACATCGTTAGATGCCGGTTCAATGGTCCAGAGTTTGATGGCTTGCACGCGAGCTAGAATGCACTGGGCTCGAATCCCGACTGCTGGATCGTGAATACGCATTGCTGAGTAGTCCCATGCTAAGACGAACCGACCACTCAGTACTTCAAGGTTCTTACTGGTGGTCTAACATTCATTGACTCTTGATCTCAATAAAAAAAACTCAACAATTTCAATAAACCCATACTGATAATAAATTTAATGCTAAAAGAAATCCAGGAACTATGAGCAGACTTTTAAAAGTACTGGTCCAGTATATATAGAAATTATGACTTAGATGAACAGGATTTTGTTTGTGATCTGCACTTATAACTAGTAATTCATCGTCACAATAATAGTCCTATTTATGATAGACATATTTTAGTACAAAATACTTATTCTGAAGAGTAAAATGAATAAATGTGTTAGAAATAGACACTTTTAAGTGACTGATATATTTCTATTCGTAGTAGTTCTAAGAAAGTTCAGAATGGCTAATTGAATGATGTATTTGTATGAGAAACTTAAGCAAAAATATTGACTTTACATGTTATCATTTGAAAACATATGATTATTAGATTTTAACAACGTCAAGATCACAGGCGGGTACAAACTAGCTTAATAATTATCTAACCAGTATTTTGTATCGCTCTCAGTCTGTACAACTCATTTAACAAATAAAAAATGACATAAATATATATGATGAACATCAAAAGCGCCGGCATTTTAATTTAGCATTTTACATCGGAGAATGTGTAGACTTGTTTCTGTTGTACATAGATAGTAATTATAATTAAATGCTCAAATATTTGTTAAATATGTATTTAAAACTTTATTACTATTATAACACCATATATTTATCATTTAGTTCATATTTTAAGAAATGTTAACACTTTTACTAGTTGAGATCATGAATCAAATGAACCTAGACAACCCTGGAAAACCTGGAAGCACTGGATGGCCATTTTGTACTACTGTGGGACTCCTCAGTAGTGACTATCCACGATCCCGCCTCGCAAGATTTGAACCCATGACCTTTCAGTGCTTCCAGGTTTTCCATGGTGATCTAGCTTCAATTGACTCATGATCTCAACTATTAAAATGTTAACAAATTTAATGTTAACATTTTGAAATAGAATAGGTTTGCGTAATCACAGTTTACTGAACATTTTAATTTGAAGATATTCAAGATGTTCATAAATGTAATTAGCAAATGTATAATAATTGAGGCATATTACTTACCTATTGATCCAAGGATATGTCAGTCTTTTATTATCATCATAAGTATTTTTTTCTCTGGCTTGCCGGGAGCAGTACGAATATACAGTCATTTAAAACGACTGTAAATTTGTTAGCATATGTAATGATAAGTAATGAACGTCTGAGCTAGGAACAGTTTTAGCTAGTGAATATCTATAGCTGAGAAGGATTATTTTCATAGAGTTGCGTTCTCATGAATATTAATATTAACAAAACAATCCTTTGACCATCTGTAGAGCAATTCTAATAGCTCACTACTAACTGAAATTTGTGTTAATAATGTCCTCTAGAAGAAGTGTGAAAACTACAGTATCTAGTCATCCAAAACAGAGAATTTAACTGTACTAACAGCGTTCTCAGCTGTTTTACGAATCTAGAATGTGCTTCGGTAAAAAAGTTTTGAATTTCAGTATTTATATTGACAGGCACTGATGAAAAATCTTAACTAGGATATAATTCACTTTGAATGTTCCAGAGCCATCCACAACTGTATGGTGCCAATCTCAAAGTTATGTATGATTTCAGCATTAAATACCAACAAGTAAGAATTACATCAGTGTTAAAAGTCATGTTTTGTCTATATTATTGAACTCCATTGTATTTATTTGAGCCACAAGAGTTCATTACAACGTGCATCTATTGTTTAGTACGTTTATATTTAATAGAATTAGATACTATGTCTAAGGATGCATTATTTAAATAGTTCATATCCTACAAACAATTTGATCACCTCAACCTTGTTTCTATATGCGGTCTAGTCACTCACAGTTCTGGGATCAATAAATTCATAAGTAATATTCCCATAATTATTCCAACCGATTTGTGAATATTTTAGTTGTCAGTTGAGTATCCTTCAGACTGATTATCAATCACAATAGGTTTGCGTTTATACATCGCAAGTTATTTAAACTAATTTTAAATCATATTACAAAGGTATTTAACGACAAAACAAAAGAGTAAGATTATGTGGATCTTACTTAATGACAACCAGTAAATCGATGCACACTATTAAGTTCCATCAAAATTTACTCTAGAATAAGTAGCATGAACCTAAATATTTTACAAAGAATAGATAGGATGTGTCTGGAAATGGCATTCAGGATGCGTATTTCTTACTATTTTGAATTCATCGATGTATCTTTATCTCAGAGTTCAATTTCAATGTCTCATTATTCACTCACCAACGGAGTCCAAGTAGACTATCATTCATGCTACGAATATGTGATTCAATTAAATTCGAAATTGTCTAAATTATCCAGTTAATGATATTCGTGATCAAAATTTGATCAGCCTTGGTTGGTATATATTGCGCCATTATGGATTGCCTTGAAATATTAAATACGATTCAAATTGATATAGAACAAACGAAATATAGATATCAGTGAAATCTCGGACGCATGTTTCGTTTCAGCAATATTGATCAACATATGATCAGAAATATCAATAACTGGATAGTTTAAACAATTTTAAGTCGAATTTAAAATTTTACTAAATAATTTAAGTATGGGACAAATTATCTCAAAATGTACCGGTTTGATAAGTTAAATTATTTTATTTAGCGATAATCTGTCCCAAATGTTTAATAAGACTCTATATTTAAGGCAATTATTCCCTTTGATAAATTTCGATAATGTAATAAGAAGACGAGGATTATCAGAACCATGTAATATATTGGCGCAAAACATTTCGAACAATCTGATCACACATATACTTGTTATGAACATTTATATTTAAAAATAAAAGGTCAACTAGACTGGAGATGTGGTAAGAGAAGTCAAGGGTAATAATAAGAGTAATAATAATAATGTGAGCACAATTTGAAACCTAACCACTCTGGATGATAAGCTAATATTACCAGGGTAGGTTTATGGTGAGAACAAACTCTTTTTGAATACACAAAAGGGGGTTTGAATTTTCGTATGGCTAAGGCCTCAATAAACCTTAGTATACGCCCTTTTACAACATCACTAAAGGTGAGTTAAGATAAATCTTATGGCCTGTTTCGATTACATGTTTGGCAATAGAGAATGACTGATGTTTAACCTCTGTTTTTATTGGGTCACTCGATTGTATTTGTTTTTTGCAACCATTTTGGTATATGTTCACACGCTCTAATTTTTAGATCACGATTGCTCCTCCCTAGGTATGTGTGACCACACATATATTTAAATTGGTAAACATAGTGGGGTGTGACACAATCGTTTTCATGTCTTTTAGGTTTTGGATGAAGCATGCACCTTGTTTTTTCTTTGATAATGACGTTTGCTGCGCAATACTTTTTGTTGATAACTGATTTAAGCCTTTGTTTCAATAAAAGGCTATTTGAATCACCTCTGAATGGTAAGGTGATGTAAAAAGTCTTCTTTCCTACCAAGGCTACAGTAGGTCTCCGTGTACCATGGACTTTCCATCTACTTATCAATTTCAGAGGATAGCCATTTTCCATTAATGTTTTATTTAGCAACTTACCATCATCATCAATGGCATCATTTGTACAAATACTATCAAGCCTGGTGATTAGGCACCTTATCAAACCACGTTTGTATTGCACTGGGCAATAACTATATTAACTAAGGTATTGACCTGTCCACATTGGTTTTTTAAAATGGATCGTTTACTCAGAAGTATATCTAGGAAAGGAAGCTTACTGTTCTGCTCCTCTCCACATGAGAAGCTGATATGGTTTTGGAGAGTGTTAAATTTATTTAATAAACAGTACATATCCTCATTTCTTTCATAAACAACTAAGATATCGTCCACATATCTCTTATAAAGTGACATGTTTTCGATTAGGTCATCAGCCAGATTTTCAACATGTGCCATAAACACATCTGCTAATAATGGTCGTAGTGGACTATCCATAGTAACCCCAACAATCTGAGAGAAGTATTCACCTTCCAAAGTGAATTGAACTTTTTCAGTACATAATAATAGTAAATCTCTAAGAATTCTTAAAGGGACACGTAATTTAAGATTGTTTACAGATATGTAATCAAATAATATATCAATCGTTTTTTTTTCAAAGGTGCATTTGTGAACAAGGAATTCACATCAAATGAACACATAACTCTATATCTCTACATTTACTTATAATAATAATCTATGTATGTCTAATTTTCTAATGAAGATAATTTTATTTACCTTAAATTAATCAGTGACATCTTGGATAAGCATAAATCTACTAAACTAAACAGATATGAAATTTAACCCACATGAAGAAAATTAATTTAGGTAATTTAACTCAAATTACAACTTTTATATACTGATTAACTAATGTCAAGCTATACACATTATCATGGTTATTTTGTAAAAATATTAAAAAAAATAAAACGATTGTTGCTAAGGAAATGTAGAATAATCAAATGTAAAATTGATTTGAACTATCTATATTATGTTAAATATTTGATATTCCTAATTGAATTTTATATTTCCATCATTTTTCATCAACAGAATCAGCCTCTAGAATCAATTACAGTCGAAAAAGATTAAGTAAGTGAATTTATCTTATCTTTAAATGTTTTAATAAATTATCATATTGGTTATGTATTATTTTTAATTAGAAATACACTTTTTAATTATTTCTTGGGAAAAAGAGAATTGATTGAAATCATGTGTCAATTGAAGCTAGACCACCATGGAAAATCTGCTAACTAGTGACTGACTTCAAGAGATACTCCTGGAGTTGTAATGAGAAGCTGTTACCAGTGGAGTTCAATCAGGTCTGTTGTAAGATATCAACTCACTGAAGAAAATGGTGTACGGTGGCTCAACTTCGTGGATTGGTTGAAGTTAGATACTAACACCGTTGGATGCCGGCCAGTTCAGTGGTCTGCTTAGTTAAGCGCCTGGCACGAGACTGATAGGTCTTGGGTTTGAATCTCACGGGGTGCGAAATCGTGGATGCGCACTGTTGAGAAGTCCAGTGCTTCCAGGTTTTCCATGATGGACTATGTCCAATTGACTCATGATTTCAATCAGTGAAATTTCTAAAATCTCCGCAAACCCCTTCTGATAAAAGATAATTGGATTCCATTTTATTTTTGTAATCTGACTTATTCATAATAACAACACCAGATCCTATAAAAGATAAATGACTTGTTAACATGGTTGAAACTAGTGACGAACGTAGGATTTAAAATAGCTGACAACTTGAACTAATAACTACAAAGCTCTCAATGACAATTCTGTACCCACCCACCTCAATTCGTCAAATATTGAAATTAGCTCGCTAACATTTGATTAACATGGATTTATTATTATACAACATAAGGCAATCATAGCACTATGGTATATTTAACTGCTTTAAAAACAGAATTTAAAATTTCATATCATAAATCAAGTTGTTTAAGATTTCAAAGGAGATTGACTTAGTCAATTCAATGTCGACAAATATGTATATTTAGTGATTTAAGTCAATGATATATGTAATATATGGTGACTAATATGAATCACTAATAATGACATATAGTCTTTTTGTTATTTTAAATTATTTTGACATTTAAAACTCATTTACTGAAAGCTTCAGTGATTCCCTATTGTTTTACGATACTACTTTATAAATGCTTCAATAGTTAAGAAACAGATAATGTGTGATTCACGTGATCAGACATCTATGGTTATAAGTTTATCAGAAGTAAAGACCTAGTTAGTAATTATTAGCCGAACAGAATAAGTTATTGTACATCTTTAACAAAACACATCCATCCAGTGTATATTTCTACAAATTTTAACGGACTACCAGACAATAAGACATACGAATTTAATTAATAGTAAATAAATAAACAAGACGATGCCATCTGTCAGTTTAATAGTTCAGCCTTAAACCATTATTATCAAATTTTAAAAAAATAGACAATCATCCTCGATACAACCAGTTAGATACTGAATCTATGTTCAATAGTGTTAATTATATATAAACGTTGAAAATGTATTACATAGTTTATACCACATAAATCATTTGGTGCTTTAATTTACTAAAATAACATTGTAAATAATCGCTAATCATTTATTTATTCATTTCCAAATCTATTCAAACCATGTATACATTTCGTTTTTTCCATGTGATTTACATTTACGTATATAAAACTACATTAGATATATGATTGATATTGAGTATTAAAAGAATAGAATGTTAGCGATAAAAGCATTTTTGTTCTATATTTTTTTAAGCAATAATGAAATCATAAGAGATATAGTTATTTACCTTTTAAATGCTTCACTGCTTTTTGAAAAACAATTTCTGATTGTCACATGAAATCAAAAAAGAGCTGAAATCAAATTACAATTGTAAATTATGGTAATTTCTAATGTTAAATTAAAATGTGTTTGTTTCACAGTAAATAAATGAAGTTAAATAAGATTTCATTACAATAGTATACTATTCACATTCAACAGAAAATGATAATGAGGTAATAATAGAAAATTAACTGGATGAGACTATAATTTATGAAAGACCTGTGACAGACGCTAGACTAACCTTGTTAGTGTTCAATTAATAACCAGGATCAGATGAGGGTTATAAACCTGTGTGAGGAATTCGAATTATAATTTACAGTCGATGGATGAGTGAATGTCACGCTAAAATCCGAGACCTGTTATCTTACACCTGATTGGTTCGTCCATAAATTATAGTCTTGCCTTAGAACTGTTGAAAACGAATTTGTTGCATTATTGATTAAGATGATACATTCATTCGAGTTCTTAAGTTAAAAATTTATTGATGGCTTTCTTGAAGCTATTAGATCATCTATTAGTTGGTTTTTCTGGACCAAAACATTCAAATTAATTTATATCTTAATTAAAATCACCCGTATTCCATTTGAAATTGCAGCACTGACACGACGTAAATTGTTGGAACCACGATAAAATCTCTAAACGTATGAGGATGATATTTAAGTATTACATCACCATCAATAACTCAAGGTGTATATCCTAAAAAATATGGATATCATAAGTAGAAATAGAAAGGTTTTCTATTACCATCTATGCGTAATTTCCGACAATATATTTCTGAAAAATATTCACAATATAAGTAATTAAATAAAAAGTGTAAGGCTATAAATTGGATGGAAATGTAAATTATACTATTAATTCACAGAATATCACTCCAGAACTAAAATTACCAATTACTGTTTTTTTAACTTGTGATTTGACTCCAATTAGATAGTACGATGTTGTCAACGGGCTCACCACTTAAGTGGTCTTGGATTTGAGTCCAGTTATATAGTATGTTTGGTATACATTGCGATGGGAATATAATAGTAATTTTAGTAATCGAATGTTTATGGGTAATGAATGATGCATCATGCAGTTATGCATATTGACGAATAGATAAGATGAAAGTAATCGTTGCTGATCAGTTAGTAGAGTTAGAGTCCCGAAACTGTCTTTTATTATTATTTATCTTTAAAAATTGTCTTTATATTTGCAAACATCATGATTCAAAATTATTTACAGAACAAAAGTTTAATGCACTAGTCAATCACAATATTGTGCCACATGACCCCGGATTAAGATGAAAATATTATGTTCTTTCGTGAGAAATCTTCGTTAATATTAAGTTTTATAATTATTTAGCTATTACCACATTAAGAAGATAACCATTTAGACTCGTACAAATATCTGTAAACCATTTGTAAATTGAATACAGTATATATGTTCTGGTAAATAAATTTTGATAATGCAAGGTACCTTAGCAACTATTTTAATTTATAGGTAACTGACCGTGTACAAACCTGTATTTATTTAAATTTTAGTTCATGTATCTTTATGTTCAAGTATCCTGTACATTGCTTAGTGTCATACAATCCCATAACGCTTGAAATAGAACAACTAATAATTTCAATGACATTACATGTTAGATTGCATTCCTCATGTTCAGCATAAATCTGAACCTTTCAACGCATATTTATTAATCAAATATAAAACATTTTTTGTAAAATCTTTCAAACAAGTCTTTCATTTAACCAATACTTGTTCAATGAACCTCTGGAAATTAATATACAACAAGCGAATATAGCTCATTAAATATTAGTACATTAAGGTAAATGATACATACGTGACATTACTTAGACAGCTTTTATTGGTTATCTCCTTACTATTTGTTACTGTTTGCAAGAGAACTCAACCAAAGAACCTTTTATTACAAACGTTAAATGACGTTATTGATGGAGCTACCGAATTCAGATAACTACAATATGTTCAAAAGTTATGAACGTATTGATTAAGGTTTATGATTTATCGTTATTTCTGTCCAGGACTTCATCAATAGTTTACTATAGTTTAACAGTATATAAATAACCCATTATGAGCACACTTAGAGGAGATATTTTTACAAGTTCTTAAATATATATATACAGCTGTAATAGGTTAAGCGGCCTTTATTTATCATTTGAATTTTAGACTGTTCCTTTGAAGTATATTGTTAATTATTCTATACAAGTAAGCAAAGCTGATAAGTCACTTACGAAAAAATGACCATTTTCTAATAATATACACTAACAACAGTGATGTAACTCAATAATTATATACACATTTGTGTATGGTACTCGGTTTCCAAAACCGAAACGGTTATAACCTCCGGCATTTAGCTACCAATTATACGTTCGATCATTTTTAACCACTAATTTACTAAGACTATGATACCTTACAAATCATCGAATTCAAGTGTAAAATAACTTTTCTCTCTTGTTAGTAAAAATATTCCATTACACTATTTTATACATCTCATTATAAATTTAGAATATATAGGAATTAAAAATACCAATGTTTTTCTAGGTGAATATATGATAAAGAAGATTTGTAGCTTAGATGGATGATTTTGATAGCATTTTGTTCTCTGACCTGAATGGTTTGGTCGTGGAGCTTTCATCATTCTAGTGAACCGAATCATCAGCACAAATTTCATATGGAAGTGAAATGTTCGACTTTCTCCACATAAGGCTCACAGCTTATCCCTTAGACATCGATGTTGATTGATTACTGTTGACCTTTTGATTATATCTCCAATTGATTTGATTTTTGGTCCTATATTTGTCCATAATTTTTCCGATTATTTAATAAATTGAATCGATTTCAATGTGTTTGTTGATTGCTGATTGATGTGAGTTTTAAAGTTTCTGAAAATCCTCCAATATCAACAATAAACAAGCAATATCGAAATCTATAGTACACGTTATGAACCATATGTGAAGAAATTCGAACACTTCACTTGTGCTAATGATGTCATTCACAAGAATGATGAAAGCTTCACGATCAAACCATTCAACTCAGAGAACAAAACTCTATCAAATAGATAAATAAACTTTTCGCTAACTAATATATATGATAAAATTATTTTAAAAAATACGGATTATTTAATGAAAATATATATTTAATGATTATCGAAAATATACCATAATATTTAAGTATGATCTATGTATATAAGAATATAGGAATAAACAATAATTGAACAAACTATAACAATTCCATATAACCATTTATAGAAATTA